TGTTTTCAAATGAGGATTCTATATTTAGTCTAATGAATATAGCCAATCGTGATATGCATGCCCGTTCCAACTATTTTCATTTCCAGAAAAGTGTACAATATTGTTTGAATTATGAAACATATGAAGTTATTGCAATACGAATGCTGATAAATTTGAATTATCAAAAATAGAATTCGGGAGGTTATTAAATATTTCAATATTTCAATATTTCAATAAATTAAACACAGATAATATAGCTTTAGATAGATAAAATACATTTCTAACATGAAAATGACTGCAAATTTTCAATATACTCACCGTTTTCTCCAAACTTATTAAACATGTTAAGAAACACTCTCTCACTTTTCCTAAATGTAATTGCTTCCCTTTTTCACCGGGGATTATTTTTAGAAATATCTCTGATTTCCTTAAAAGGCAATGTCAGCTCTACCAGTAGGACCGATTGTTCCTGTATATAACGGAATTTCAAAATGATTGTTATAAGATGTTGCAGGAAGGGACTTCCCCTGTTTATGTATGTATGCACTGTACGTAAAGCTGCCGATCCCAAGAGGTACATGTCAATTTAGCTTTGGACTGATATGACAAACATACTAACTTTTCACATCGGATGAAAGCCAATATGTTCTTCTTCAGGATGATGGTCGTTGTTGGAACAATCTTCGGTACTCTCCTGATGGTGATGGTGCTAGCTGCAGTTATTGTAATTTGCCTTCGACGAAATCGCCGCAAGCTTCACGCCCTCAATAAATACATGGACCAACAAACTCAAACTTTAAGCAAACGTATGTACGATCTTAAAACAAAGCTATGTCTATGCTATCTATGCTACTTAATACCTAGTATAATACATAATTGGTATGATTGATGTATTGCTAATTTGTATATATATGATGTACAATGTTCAATGTTGTGACCGTTACTAGTGCTTTTATTATCAATAAATGTACAATATAAAACATGTTATCACTGAAGTAAACTAAATAAGACAACTTACATTAGTTGAGTAAACGTTAATAGTATGGCAACCCTAAGAGAAAGTATGACTAATGAATATATTAGTATAACTTTAGGATAAAAACCAGGATAAAACTCATTTTGAGAAAAGAATATCTAGCGTACATGTAGTATATATAAACCGTAATATTTAGACCATGGGATATGGTATTAAAGCACTGTTTATGCTATCCTTTCCTATGAGATAAACTAAGGTGCTTTTATAACATGTATATTCTGTTATGATCGTTTATCAACTTATGATGACATAGTATTTCCCACAACTACTGTAGATTTCCTCACTCCAGTTTGTAAACTGTTTGGTTACCCACTACTGGGTAACACCCTGGGCGTTATTTCATTGTTCAATAGTCTAATGATGACATCAAGTACCAATGCTTTGGACGTATTTTTCCATTGTGACGTCATATTTCATGGCAATTGATTCCCAAATCTGAAACAGGAATGGTGTATTCTATTTCCAAGAGAAACATACAAAATGTATGGGTTATTTTATTTTATTATCTGAACACTGTGGGAGAAAATAGCCCCAAAATGATGATGGTTGATAATTATGTTTATCTAAGTCTCGCTAGTTAATTTTCAAATTGTGAAAGACAAATTGAAATTTAAGTAATTTGAGTTAGATAAACATCATAACCAACCAACATAATGCTTTGATGAAAATAATTTAGAAACGACATTTTGCCAGTCATATATTTTTGTAGAAAAAATCATTACAAGATCTGCTTCATCAAACCGTATATAACTTAAAGTTAATATAACTAATACCATAAATCTGTTATCATTTGTATTTTAGCCCCAGGACCAAGTGATATAAATCGCCCAGCACCATCCCTCCCCCCTGAAGGTAAGAATGTAGAGGTGTCATCATTATCATTTCTGTGACCTCAATTATAGATGCATGTCTTGGTTAACATAAAATCCTTCAGCAAAGTTAGCTAGAACTATAGCTATTAATAGGATGTAAACACAAACAAACTAAAATAATATTTACAGCGATAAAGATACAATTTACCGAAAAATAATTTCGAATCGTTCTAAGGATTTATGACTCTTCCTAGCTAACTGCGCTCTTTATAACCGATAGATCTATAGGTTGTTTTGATGATATTAGCGATTGTAGAATACAAATAGATAACTTTGCTGAATGCTTCAGGAAGTCAAAAAGGGCTTTAATGTCCTGACCTAAAATGATATATTATAAAATGCAAGCTTTGTTTGCTGACATACATGTAAACGAGCATTACACTTGGAAGTAAAACATAGCATATTATTATTTATTTGTTTTGTTTGTTTTTATACCGAGTTGATTTAAATCATATATCTATATATTTTTTTAATTTCAGCCCTCTTAAATATTTAGGGCCATTGAAAAAAGGGGACAACTGAACGGACCCTGTCCTCATATCTGAACAGAAATCAAGGCCAATTACATTATGGGAGTGTTAAACAGAACACTAAAAACAATAGAAAGCATGGATATGACTACTTCACAGCTCTGTTCAAAGGACTTGTAATGTTACATCTTGAGTATGCCAACCAATTCTGGAGTCCATGTCTGATTAAGTACACGCTCTACTTAGAGAACGTCCAAAGGCGAGTTACTAAGCTTATAAGAACTAATATATCCTACCCAGAGAGATTGCAACGTTGGTCTTTTGAAGACCCTAGGGAGATTGCATTGAGCTATTCAAAATCATGACTTGGAAATATCATCCTGAAGTGTCAACTTTCATTTCCGCACAACAAACACATAAACAATGAACTTGCCTTAACACCAAGAACAATGGATCGAACAGTCCGCTTTAAGAGGTTTTGTCTCAAACCGTTCGATCATTTGAATCCAGCCTTGACCACCACTAGGAATATTTTCTTAATTTATTATTGAACAATGAGTGGTTATTTTAAACAAGAAACACTCGTCCAAACATAGAAAACCTTGTTTATATGCATCACTTAATCTGCAATATATCAACACATAACCAATTGATATTATCAATTAACTTGTACTTACATAGCTATGACATTATTAGCAATGAACTTGCAAAATAAATAGGGAACTATAATAACCTCAGACAGGACCAAACGAGAAATATTCAAAATATCCAACAATTGGAATCAAATATGTGTATCTGTAAATTTATCTATCCCTAATAATAGATAATAATGAATAGCAATTCTTAATACAATTGACTGTTATGTCAATATCGCTGCTTTTGGAAATCAATGCACATAAAAAAAATCTTGATCACAGAATATTCATCTATCGCAGATTCTTTGTGCAGGCCAGTGATTTCAATGAAACATACAAAATGCCTATATTAAGATTTTCTTTAAAAAAATCTTAAACAGCACATCTGAAATCAAACACAACACAGCAATGATGAGTAATTGTCGATGAATTGTAATGGAATAAAAAATGCAATTGATATATTCATTCTTTTCTTATTTTATCATTTTATATATAAAAAAACGTTGCATTTTTAAGGAAATTACAGCTTTGATTATATTGATACGTTTTGCAAGATGTTCATCATCCAATAACTTTATATCTAAATAATATGTTCGGTTTATCATAGTTCTATATGCTGACAATATGTTATCATACAGTAGTTTCTATGTAGATTTGTTATACAAAAAATGTATGCAATACATTTACCCATAAACAGGATTCAACAGATTAATTTGTTTTCAAAATGTGTTCATACGATGCATAAATTATCAAACACTCTGATGTTATCTTGGAGACGTTCATTATATAGCATGATAAATCATTTATCAAATATCAATTCATATTTTACTAAAAGGAATGAAATAAAATTAATGATTTACCAAAAGGTAATGTAATAAAACGAATGAAATAAAATTTATTATTTGGTTTCTTCGTATGTATCTTATCAAAACCTCTATGTGGACGCACGGTTGTCTAGTGGTAGGACGCCGGGCTCGTGACCGAAGGAAGTCACGGTAGTCTAGTGGTAGGACGCCAGGCTATTGACCGAAGGGAGGCACGGTATAGTATAGTGGTAGGACGCCGGGCTCGTGACCGAAGGGTTGCGGGTTCGACTCATGGCACGGCACTGTGTTGTTTCTTTGTGCAAGATGCTTTACCCCGCTTGTTCCAGTCTACTCAGCTGTAAATGAGTATGGGGTTGGGTAGTGCTAGAATTGTTGAATGCTAGCTGTGAGCGCCGAAATGGTAGCACCGGCTGTATGCTCCCCATGGAGTTGAGAAAGATGTTGGCTGGTTGCAAAGGCCCTATAACCACGGATAATAATTTGTGAACCACTTTGAGACGACCTACGAACTAGAATGTGATAAAGCGGTATATAAGAACCTCCAATTATTATTATTAATTATTATTATATGATTTGTAGTTTATAATATATCATCTACTTATGTAAAATTACAAAGACCTCTCTAACCAATCACCATTCATGGGCCGGTAGGAGTTCCGTTTGGCCAAGGCTGTCCTAATTTTTGACAGGTTAATTAAACTACTTATTGGCATAGTCTGATATTATTGTGCAGATAGTCTGTTATTTGTAATACTACCATTTTGCCCTGCCAGAGTGTATTGTGCTGTTGGACCGGAGAGATCGTCGTTTGGTTCTGTCTGAGTTTATAATGTCGATGGGGCGGTAAAGCTACCGTTTGGCTCTTTTTGACTTTATTATGATGATGATGACTATGAGCCTTTAAGACTACTGTTTGACTCTTTCTGACCTTATTATGTCAAAGGCCTCTATGAATGCTAATGCACCGTCTCCAGAATCTCTGTGAAAGCACGTTTGGAGTTGGTCTAGATGTAACGATTGCTTAAGAATATGGCAAATCATTTTAGCTCTATCAAATTTGGCTTTTGTTCAGACAGATGATGTTTTATGAACAATACGTAGTTACACTCATGAAATATGACAAAATCTCAAAACATTTTTCATAAGTTGTTGCTGTATATTCTTTTTATTGAAAACACTGCTACAGTATATCAAATATTGAGAAATATCCATTTTTAACATGCATTCAATAAATAAATATATAATGAATTCAAAATACTCACGATATTTATGAATATACTCCCTTACATTCTAATTTCGAAGCGATTCAAATGAGAATTAGAAAAATCGTTCATCATTGTTACCTTATAGAACATCATCGGTGGACAAAAGGCATTTAAATAAACAAATGTAGGAAATTGTACAAAATAACTTGCTTTAAAAACATGAGCTTGGAATTGTCTTTTGTTGACAATAGGCACCTTCATGAAGTACTGATATGGGCATCGCATTTGAATATTCGATACATGCCGAACCATTACTTCCTGGAAAACATTGACAATGTCAAATTTGAAAAACTGAATCAATGATCAAAATCAGTAGAAATTACACAAGATTCGAATTTAAGGATATATCAATAGAAAATAAAGAAACTCATATTCTCTGAAGCTAAGGTGTTTTCCGCTATATATGTGGTACCGTAATGATGTCTACCGTCAATTCCAGTATTTAGGTCACCAAAACAAAATGGAACAATCGATAAATATAATAAGAAATATGGCTATGGTGACAACTTTAGTTTTATTTGTTTTCATTAGAGTATATTGGAGTCGCTCTGATAGAATACCTTGGATAGGCAGTTAACTGTCACTCACTTCATGTCATTACGTTTTCCAATCTTAGCACAACAAGTGTAAGGACTCGGATATTTAAAGCCAAAATAGCTTAACAGTGGTATACTGCAATACAAAAATCGTTCACTCAAACTGAGTTATTTGAATTTCGGTTAATTATCGGTTGAAAAAATCCACACAAATTTATGTATATAGTGTTGAAACCTCGTATCCTTTATCATCCGTTTCCTTTTGAGATGATCTCCCTCAGTTTCGGTTATCATTACGTATCAACTTCTATATCGGATACTGTTTTTGCATGATTAAGGTGTGGTAAGTTATTTTTCCTTGCTCTTAATTACTGCATATAATCATTTGAAAAATTATTTTTTCCTGATTATTTGCCTTATTTATCGTGTTCTGTCGAATATACGTTTGAGGTAGCTACAGTTTAAATGTACAAATACAGCGTAATAAGAATGATTGATGCAGTCACGAATTATGTACAATAGCGAAGAAACTTCGCACATCATTTAACCCTTATCCAGAACAAAAACATGTCTTGTTCTTATAAACAGTCGTCAAAGATTCAAACTCCACATAATAAATAGTATTCATTACAAAAGATGATTTGGCACAATGCGTAGTTAAAAACAATGTCTTTCTTGAACACTTCCTAAACTGCAAATCAGTTCAATTTAAGGATACAGTTTTGTATGTCGATTTCGAGAAAACAATCGCTTGTCACGTTTCTAGTCTCACGAAAGTTAACTTATGCACATTATTCACTAACGTTAAATTCGTCTTACTTTCATAACTCATTATCAGATGACAACAATAACAATAAAATGAGACTTTGTTATTCTGCTCACTCCCGTTCCACAATAACAAAACCTACGAATTTATAACCTAAATCCCATTAATGATATTTCAATGCAAACCAATCAAGGTTTTGCAAAATATGATCACAGATAGTCGTTGGCTTAATTTCAGTGAGAACAAGTTTATGGCTTCTCCTTGATTGCTGCCAGCACAATTTTCCGTAAGTTTGCAGATTTTTCTTTTGTTGATCGTAATCTTTCCTTCTTTTGGCGCATCTTCCTTCTGAACATGCGTTCTCCTAACAACATTTCTCTGAAAACAACACACATAAATATAGTAATGGTGATTCAGGTATGAAAGGAAATGTTAGGTAAAATGCAACTTCAACATTTGATTCTAAACGACAAATATATAATATCTACGATAGCATTAAATCGTTGTATGTCATGTGTATAAAGGGAATTCAGGGTAAAAAAAAATGTTTTAATTACGTAAGACATTCAATCAGGAATAAGTACTTTTGCTGCATACTATTTAATGATCATTTTGATGAAAATTGAATGCGTACATGCAGTAAGGGCTTCATTAACAAGGGAGATAAGAAAATGATAACATAAAAGTATTTTTTAGAAAGTGCATTTGAATAGTATTAATACTGAATGTTTTCAACCAAAATATCAAATGATATGTTTTGCTTTACATTTCAAAAAAACAAATATGTAATAACTACATGTGAGTCAAATGGTTTGAATTATTTTGTCTTCTTTGCAAAAACAATAAAAAAAATCTTGTTTTTCATCGCTATATGAAAGACAAAAGAAACATAACTCCTTTACACCTACATAGATAAACATGAATACATGTGAAAGCAAAATACAGCTTTAAGATAAAACTTCATTGTTTATATATTTATATTAACCAGGTATAAGTAACTAGTTAGCCATACACACATATATATTGCTTAAACACAACATTTATCCCTCAAAGCATTCTTGCAATTATGAATTACAGACACATCAAGTCAAATCGCGTACCGTTAGCCGATATCGCTAGCGCACAACTTTAAAATTATTTGTGAAAAAAAGAGATGTTTTCCCATCCTGTAACCAAAAACCAAACAAACATGAAAATTACTGTTTCCTATATTTTTTTTGCAACAAAAAGTTGTCAAAATTTGGCAGGATACATCAAAACAAAATATCTTTCCTCTGAAAAATCAATATAATATATATTTGACGTTTCCACATATTTATAAGTTACGTTTAGCATTTTTATCTTGAACAATACACACACAAAATAGCGCTTGTTACTAGCCATACGAACATACACTTACCCCATAATCGTTCAAGTTCCCTTTTTACAGAAAAGTTCAGTTTAATAAAAAGATACACAAACAGATTGATTGTGTTTATAAAATGACACGATGAGGAAATGAGGATGTAAAAGGAAACCTGCTTAACAACATATATACTCGATTTCAACGATGAGTCTTTGACCACCTGACATATATAGAACCAATTGTTGCCTGTATAGCTTCCTCCTATATAGCTACCGAACAGCTCCCTATGCTATCAATCAAATCAGCTTATACTACGATTATTGCATTGCCATCTGTGATTGAATTCAACACGAAATATGTTTTAGAAAGCCAAATTAAACCTTAAAGAGGTACGTAATCTGGTCATGCTTTTACAACTGAAAACATTTCTGACAAAAAGAATGACATGTCGAATTGTACACAATAAGAACTTACTTAAAGTCTACCTCCCCGTCTCCATCCTCATCCAGCTGGTCCAGTAGGAGGTCTAGCTGGTGTTCCGTCAAAGGGACCTCTGCCGTCTGAAGTAGCGAAAAGATCGAATTTAAATACATGTAATCATCAGCACTTAACAAAATTACAATTGATGTGTAAGTTACTGCAATCTTATTTAAATGGACATAAAAGCTAGATTTTAAAAGGACTATAATATATAAATAAAAATTTCAATTCAATTAAAATGAAAAATTACTGTCTTCAATGGGTAGGTGATATAGTTATTTTCGTTTAGGAATTCTCTCTAATATGAGGTTCATGTTGAGGTCCATATCAATATAAGACATTATAATATATATATATATATGTATATATATAAACAAAGTTATGTATGATTTAATATTTGCGAGCAAGACATTAATTAATTAATTAAAATTGCAAACTACGCTATCAGGCAGAGTTTATTACTAGTCATTAGCATAAGACCGATCAAAAAAGTAATAGCCACTTACAAAAAGGGTTTATAATTTTGGTTTCAATGGATTGTAATGATTGAGTATTACGACAATTTACTAATTCAACAGCCTTCATTGTATTATGTTAAATAAATCATTTAAATGAAATTCTATATTGTGAATACTAAACCAAAAAAATATTATCACAACATTTAAAAGCTTTACCGTGAACCAGAATAAAAGCTAGACATTAAAAAAAGAAAAACGAAGAAGAAACAGTAATCAAAATATGAATCTTATCATACCATAAATAAAATAAAAATGAAAACGAAAGTTGTACAAATAGATAACAAATCATTAGGAAGCACACAAAAAACAAAGAAGAAAGACAGATATAAAAACCATTGAAATACTTACAATCATGCCCTTCTTAAATTCGTCCCGACTGACACTCATGCTGTTATCCTTATCAAGCCATTTCATCAGGTCTATCACACGATAGTTATTATCGCTCATGTACTTAAACAGTTCACACACAGCGTCCATGTTTCCATCAATGGCTTCAGCGGAATTTGTCTTGGCATCCCTTCGCTTGATGACTGGGCCGTGCGCAACCTCGAATGATCCCTTCGCTTGCATTTCGTCAGCCATAGAGTAAAATTCCTCGTCTACTTCCGTATCCTGTATAAAATATTATTGTAAACCTCTTTCCTTAACAGGATGAAATGAATGGGAATTTACCACAGCAGCAATTCAAAAGGACAAAACCGAAATGAAAGTCAATACAAGATGACCAAAAAGAAAGACATCTTAAACTCTCACATGTTACCATGGAAACAAAAAAATCCAAAATCGAGAGTTATTTCTGCTCTAATGTGCTCTATGTGCCGGATACAAGATATGTATTTAAGAAGATACAAACACGCATGTACAATTTCAGTTTGCTAATGTTGTGGTGCAAAACATAATTTACATTCTCAACTTAAAACTTAACCTCTGACGATGTATGCAACACGTACCATAACTAGAAACGTCACAATGTAATCTTAGTTGATGCGTGTAACAAATACCTTTGCTTACAGTGTTTATGTACAATTTATGTACAGCCACGTCATAGCTATTATGAGAAGTTCTTTTTACACAACCAATACAATTTTCTATGTGACGTTTTGATGACTAGTACGATATGTACCCTGTCACCTTCATCAGACAAATGACCAATGAAGCGAATGCACACAAAGGTGTAAAATGTGTACGAGTTGTCCATAAACTCGATGTCGATTTCGGCTACGTTGGAAACGTATGTACATAGTTGTTATATATGTACCGAAATGACTCAATACAGCTACACTTGGTCATAGATGTGCGAGACCCCTCGTCTCGATTTAGAACTGGCCCACTGCGGCGTATCCAGATGGCTTCCTTTATCTGCCGCTTGAACAGATTGCTGTCTCTGTCTAAAACTTTGGAGTTATCCCAGTCAATCACATGTTTTTTCTGTGTGGCATGGTCTGTGATTGCCGACTTCTCATAATCGATACTTACCAACCTGAAGAAAATGTTTAGAAATACACGTCGTAGCTATACTTTGGAATTACATACCCCCATGTCCAGCGTATGAAGTCTGCACGCCTCGGATTGCTCTATTGCTTTCAAAATCACCAGTGCCATTCTGGGAATGATAAGATTTCCTCCAATCTGAAACAACAAGTATTCATGAGAATATTTTTAGCAAAATAACCAACATGAGTTGCAATTTGAAAAAAAATTAAAAAAAAATCCGGATCAGATAGTGACACATCCTTTGACTTACACTTCATGAATGTGTGACACTATTGTTCTTCATTGATGCAATTATCATCTGTTAAGAGTAAACTATTTCTATGGATTCATACAAATTGCTTACGAGAAATGCGTATTAGACGTTATACTTAAACTGCTAGTAGATGTATTGTTGGAAACATGTCTACGTGGGCAACGGAATAGTTAGATATTAGTTTGTAGATTTGTATCATCTGCCTCAAAAAGAAATATATAATGACTGTTTACACTGAAACTTACTCAATCAACCCTGTATCATCAACTTGAGAATATCACATCATATAACACACACCCAGGAAGATATAACTCCGCGGCTACTTCAATCGTATGTAATAAATTGGAGCACACTACTACACTTTGCCAATATTTAAAACAACACAGTAATGAACTATAAGAAAGATATATTGTTTTTGTCTGAAAAGGCATTTTACGCATTGTAAGAAAAAAAGGTTGAAATTGACTAAAATAATTTTTTATAGTATTTTGTTTTGTAACCTTGGACGTGAAATCAATGAGCAAGTTTTGCGGGATTTTCGTCACTCTGTTGACTGCTTTAACTCAAGCACTTACTGGAACAGTCTAACGATAGAAAACAATATTCATCGACGAAGCGGATTTTAATTTTGATATGATATAGATTAGTAAACACTGTAAATGAAAGGGTAAGAAATAATTTTCTATTTAGGTCAGGTAATAAGATTGAAGTTCTTCAGTTGGCAATGTGGAATGACATCTATTTAATTTCCCCGAGCTCAACGGGAGGTTCTTGTTAATGCGTTTATTCCCAATGGTTAAATTCAGCTATTGTCCAGCTATTGTCCCCGCTGAGGGGCGCTCTCCATCAACAATTCATATCTTGCGTTCATTCATTCACTTACATAGTACTTTAGGGATAAACACTTCCTCACATACAAACCGCATGCACATTGGATACACAGTTATCTCTCTTTGATAGCCTTAATATCGGGATTTGAACAGTTCATACATCCTCATTTATATTCCAGTTTACTGTCAGATAGTTTGAAATCAAAAATTCAATTCAATTAAAATGTAAAAAAAAAATACTGTCGTCAACGGGTAGGTGATAAAATATAGTTCATTTCGTTTAGGAATTCTCTCTAATATATATACAACATTTGATATAGCGCCCTATCTAGCTAACATAAGTCACTCTGAAGCGCTTTACAGTACATAGATATACAATTGTATACAATCAATACAATTAGCATAAACATTAATCAATACAATATTGAGGAATTCGCAGGAGCTGCCTTATCAGGCGCTAACTACTAGTCCTATGCCACCTAGCTATTGTACCCCTATGTGTATATGCCTGTGTGTGTGTGCTTGAGATGTAATGTGTGTTCTGTTTGTAGTGGGACCGTGCTTCCAACGGCATCAATTATTATTTTATTACAGTGCCACCGCACTTGAATGCTACAGCACAGATGCCGCAACACCCACCCCAGACCAATGAATACTCCACCTGGGTGATATGAGGTTCATGTTGAGGTCGATATCAATATAACCTAAAATTTATCATGAACCAGTAAATCAGGAAACAAAAGGATAATTAATTAGTGCGGAACTTACTCTTAGAATTTCCAGACCGTCACTCTTCTGAATTCCTTTCATGAGGTATGCTATAGCTGTCTCCCCTAACTGGTTGTTAGATAAGTCCAGCTCCTTCAAGGTTGTATTCTCCTTCAGCGTCACACTAAATATGGCACAATCCCCCGTGGTGAATCCGTTCCAGGAAACGTCCAGTTTCCTTAGACCTAAATTTTTCTTTTGTCGAAATAAAAGGGATGAGTATATGATGATCATAGATAATTGATAATAGTGATACGTTGATCAGATATTACTGGTGAGTTATTTAAATCTAAGCTGTTTTGCATGATGAGGTTCATACAGGAAGAAAACTAAATACGTTAATAATCACTATTTTGCTGTGCTGGTGAAGAAATACAAGAAACCGTTTAAAACAGGGGAATACATCTCTTTGATTCATGGGGAGGAAAAATAATAATATGTGTTATAAAAAAAAAAAAAATTGATTAAATATATCAGTTCTGTATTTAGGGAATTCAGTATAAAGACCTTACATACATTAATGCCTTTCTTTATAAGGTAATCGAAGCTGCTTCGGGTTGATACCTACCTGCAAACAAGCAGCTATGGATTTGGCACCTTCTCCCCTTATATGGTTCCAACTCAGATCTATGATCCGCAACGTATCATTTTGTGCTGAAAAAGAATAAAAATCATTTACTTAAAGAGCAATTAAAATAAATGTTATAAAACATTAGTATATCAATTTGTCATACCTTTAATGATACTACTGAAGTCAGACAATGACAGCTATAAGATGATTAATTGTGATACATATTTTAAAATATCAATGTCTGTTAATCACATTGATAGCTTGACAAGGTATTATCCTTTTGTCGTGCTATCACGCTTAATATAAAACAGAAAAAAAATACATATTATTTTTTTCAATTTTCCATATAAAATCTCACATACTAATATCTCAGTTGTATATTATGCGATTCTTTGATTCAACAGTTACACCAATTTTTAGTGTTCTTTCCTTGTCCCTCCTTACCCGGATCTTCCGCAAGGACGTTTTTGTCTTTATATTGCACTTACGTTCCGAAGGCTTGAGCCAGGAATGTCCCTTATATTACATCTACTTACCCAGATTACATCTACTTACCCAGGGGTGGACAAAGGGGCACCTATATTGCACTTACTTACCAAGGATTTTACAAAGGAGTGTCCCTGCTTTATCCATTATTTCTAACCAAAGGCTTGAGCCAGTAATGTCCCCTATATTACACCTACTTACCCAGTGCTCAAGCAAGAGATGCCCCTATATTGCACTTACTTACCCAGGATTTGACCAAGGAGTGTCCCTACATTATCCATACTTACCTAAGGCCTGAGCAATGACGTATCCGCCTTTATCCCCGAACTGGTTATGACTAAGTATCAGCTCCCGGAGGATCTTGTTATTCTGCAAGGAACAAAACAAATGTAACGCCCTGATTCCAGTTATTCAAAGGCGAACAAGCTTGATGTTCTTCACGCAAAAAATCGATCATTTTGTATTTAAAAAATGAAATAAAAATTAAACATAACCCTGTATGCAAAGGAATCATAATAATTATCTGAAGGAAGAAAATTTCGAATATATTTATAATTTTCAGTCATTTCTCAAAAAACTGCATATTGAAAATCTGTTTCAGCGATTCGTAAAGCTAACCTAAGCCTTGAACCCAAAGGGGGACAACTCGTACAAAATTGTGCAGTAATGTGTTGGTTGCGTTTAACATGAAGAAACAATTTCTGGTTCGTAAAATCAGGAACACATATTACAGCATATTCCAGAAGTTAAAATACTCCGAGTAGCAAAAGTGGTAATATATATATCTAAGATAAGCTGTGTGTGTTGTTGGTTTTTTTTTTTTATATATTTCCTATTTTCAATGAACTTGCGCAAATAATGCCGCATCATTAGTGTATACTTACTTCTAGTAAGTCAGCAACGGTATACGCATCGCTATCTACAAACCCACTGCCTGGAAATATAGGAACAGACGTAACATTCTATGTGAGGTAATTTTTATAACATTGATTCGTATCAGATAAGAGTATTTCATGTATTTGTATCAAATAAATGACCTTTTTACTGGTTAGATAATTTTTTATATAGGTAAAATCTTCATTTTATATAAAATAGAATATGTATTAAGCTATTCTGGATCAAGTAGATTCAAAAAGATTTCTAGTAATATAAGTCACGATTGAGAAAGCATCACAAATATGGAAAGGATAGCCACATATGATATATTAATTTGAATTTATTGACATCAAAGATTTTTCACTATAATTACATCCACGTACCTGTTAGAGCTTCATTTGTTAAGACAAGTATTTATGATATTTAAAGACACGTACCTGTAAGGTCTAACGATTGTATGTAGAAGTTGTTCTTCATCATATCTGTTATTGCACTTAGGCCATCCTTTGATACTAAGTTCTCAGCTAAACTCTGTGAACAAACAAAATATAAGTTCATTCAAACTGATACGACATTTTGTGTATATCAAAAAATATAGTAAAACCTGTCTAAACTTGTCGCTTAATATCCCAAAAGCATTTTAGTAATAAACTGGTTTTCGAATTCAACGGGTTCACAAAGAATTATGTAGCGAAATTAAAATTCCGCCTTGGTGCAAATCATTGATTTCTTTAATCTCAAGTATAGTGTAGTAAAACCTCGTTATACTGCCATCAATTGTTAAGAAAAAATGTGGCGTTATAAAGGGGTTTGGCTACGAATTGAGGCAGATGTATGAACGAATCCTCAAGAAAACAAGGGACATTGATAACGTTGGCACTAAACGAGGTGGCAAATGAAACGAGGGGCATTATACCGAGGTCTTAATGTAAACAAAAACCTGCTCCCTTTATAACAATAAATGAAGTAACAAGTATTTAAATTATTACATTTTAGTAAGTTGATATTATATATTATACTAAGTAGTAAAACAAACATTCCGTATAACTGATTATATATTGAAAGACTTACAACATCTGTAATATTATGGTTGACTTCGAGCATTTCAGCCAGGCTTTTCGCACCTTCAGAAGCTATCCCGTTGTCCTCCAGATCTAGGCTGGTCACTGTAGGATTATTCTGTTATTAAAAACAAAAGGTTGAAATATTATACGCATACATATAACTTGTGATTTTCGAATACGAACATTTACATATAACAAAACCAATGTCTGGAATCTTACCAACATTAGATGCTTGAGCTTGAAAAATGAATCAGCCATTTCAATCTAGTTTCAATTGTTCATACTTTAAATTCGCAAATTTAGCCTTCGTTATTTAACGAATGAATAATATACCGCATGTTTTGCAATAAAAAGAAAATACCGATGAGCCCTCATAGCCGAAATTTGAATTCGCAATATACAAAAAAAAAAATGGCAGGACAGGAATAGGATAATTGGAGAACTTTGTAAAATACCAGAGGTAAGACCTATGTGTTTTCCGCTTAATCGAGGCCACCCAATTTAAATCCAGGTCAAATTAAGGTGATGTCACATCCTCGCTTGCAATAGATAAACACTTACGACTAGGGCTATCGCTAGAGCATCAGCTCCTTTGGGACCGAGGGAGCGACACCGGAGTTGGACGACCGGGGTACACAGTTGTTGAGTTAGGGAGCGCACGGGGGTGACGCCCACTTGTTTACAGGACTCTGAGTACATCTGGCGGATCTCGTGAGCGGTCTGTTCCTCCTCGGGGATCACTGGAACAGGTTCCACTGGAAACATAGACACGAGATAGAACAATGTGCCATAGATTTAAGATCCACAGGAAACAAGCGCATTGCACACGAAATTATTGACAAGGAACAACAGGATCTGATTATAAATGACTCTCATCCCATGGAGATCTGCTCGGGATTTAACTCATTTCTCCGTTTCAGAATTATAGCAAACTTGACGTTCTATCAAGTTTCTTCCTAACGTCTGGGGATAAAGTTGACATTGATATTGCAAATAGTTCATTTCTTAAAGTAAATAAATGATAAATGATTTTCGTACCGCTGCTTAAAACTCTAACTACGCATTGAAAAGATTATACTGGCAAGAGTATATCTTTGTTAAATCATTCCTGAAAAAGAAAAATTTTACCTTGCGGGACTTTTATAATAAATAATATTAGCGATAAAAATATACAAAATATGTAAAAAAAAAAAAAAAAAAAAAACAGTTAGTAAAATCTTCACCAAGGTTGGACCGAGATTCGATCCCATAACTTCAGATTGTTATACTTTGTCTCTTTTTTTCTAAATTATCATATTTATCACGTGTAAAAGTTTCAATGAAAATTAGAAGTAAAAGAAAATTTCTCCCTTAAGAAATCAAGAAAAAAAATGTGAAAGACAAAAAAAAACAATAAATAAAAAGCGACGAGGATTGGATACTTGTCTCTAACCGACTGAGCTTCTTGGTCAATGGAAGTGACTTGGCTCAACTGTGCTACAGTTATATTCAAAACAAAATTAAGGGAAGGTCACTTTATATACGAAAAACTACATTGTTATAGGGCAGGGACCCTTATAGATACGTACCATCTGCCATGATGTCATATCCGGTGAAGGTAAACTCCTTTTTAACTCTAAGTTTAAGAAGTTCATCGGGAACAACAACACTAGGAACAGTTTGCTTTCTTTGATTAGATGTTTGCGTTATATTTGATGGTGTTCTAGACGGAGGCTGAAATGTCCCCACCTCAGGTGACGTTCGTTTAGGTTTTGAACTTGCTTTCAAAGAATGAGAACTAAGGAACAGCGTAGCACTTCTCTTTCCTATTTGAACGTTAGTTGCTTCCCTTTTCCCGTTTGTCAGAAATTCTTGTGATTTCGTTTCCGGTTCCGGTGACTTTTTAAACCCATTAGTCTGATTTTGGTCTATGTTTGAGCTTTCCCTTGATGCAACGGGTGATTTGAATTTGCCTGTTTCTATGTACTGCCCTGTGCCATGCTGTTTGTCTGCCACAGAGGACTGGGCAGGCGCTCCGACATCGCCGTCGGCGTCCATGTTCTTGTCCTGTAAGTAGATAACAGATATAACTTTTTAGATGATTAAGACTTATGTTTCTGATTTATGCTTTACTTTTAGTAAACAATCATACACGGATATGTTTTGACCGGTATTGCTTGTCAAGATTACCCGATAAGTATATCAACGTTAGGTCTAATCGGGTTAGGGTAATAATAGGTTCAACAACTGTTACATCTATGCAATAATGATCGCATTTTGAAGTACGTGCTCAACAAGGTATTTATGATCCAACTGTCTGATCCTATTCTACCGTCAGTATTAAAGTATTACTACAACTTACAGTAGTATGGTCTTAGTGGAGTAATGTCTGCATTGTAGTCAAAGCGTTACCAAATAAAACGTAACATACTCATTATGCACTGGAATCACTAGCGCTCTTCGACTTATCTTTATGTACATGTGAAAATTTAAATATTTTACCAGAGTAACAACGATTTTCAATGTAAGAAAATGTGTCTGTCATCTAACAACTACAGCAGTGTAGCTTTCTCTTTAAAAATGCATGACTTTACATTGTTACTGTACAATATATTATTTTTCACTGTATTTATATACAATATCCTACTATATTTTTGTTATACAATGGCATACGTTATAATGTATTGCTATGTTGACAGATCGCTTAACATGCTGTTTATTTATGTTTAATGGGAAAAAAAGAACGATAATAATAATTATGCATTCGTATGTTGCTACTGTTTCAAGTTATGATGCTGACAGAATCATCAGGATATTGAAAAGACGATTTGTATGACGCATACCGATAAAGTGTTGAAATTTTGGGAGATGACTTAATATAAGAGCCTACTCTTGTTGCCAGATCCCTAACATTACATTATGTAAAATTGTATATTATGTACTGCATATTTGTAAATAAAATATTGTTTAAACCAAGTGTTGAAATGATGCAAATGTCATGAAAAAATATCAATATTAATGTTCGTAATTGACAAAGTCTAACCACGGGACGGCGGTAAAGGATTCAACGAATGGATTGCAAAAGCAAATATCTTACCAGTAGAGGTATTGAGAGCGACCCATGAAGTAGATTTAGAGATGGTAGCTGATATTATATGTAACCATGAGGCGTTGAAATAGTTAGAATTCGATGAAAACGTTAAACAAGTTGACTGATATGAATGACGATAACCTCATATGTCCACCGATAAAGTAAATATAAAGGGAAGGTTAAAGCGTCACATCAGGATCATTGGACTTCGACAAAGATAGTAAATCGCTGTCCTTATCAAATAGCTCATCATTTTACGATACCGGGGTTCATCCGTCCTGTTACCCCCCACCGACCGAGGTGGAAGCAACCAGATCAGTCAGTAGTAGAGTCCACTTTTCCAGCTGAGGTTGGGTGGGAGGTACATGGCTTTAACACTACTCAGAAACATCACTGGAGAAGCCAACACATATTGATCTGGGCAAAGGCCACGGCTAAAGGTATTGTCGCTCAGGTTTTAATAACCATTAATCATATTTAAAAGGATTTATATAAACTAAAACCATGTTAGCGTTGAAAATATTGCTATTGTATGTCATAAATAATGATAATAATAATGGTCATTTATAAAGCGCAGTATCCTACTGAAGCTAACAGCTCTAGAGCGCTTTACAGTATAAAGGGTATTTATAGTTAAAATAAATGTATATGATTAATATAATATATATATTAATTACTTTCTTATTTTAAAGGATACATGCAGTTCTTGCACTGTATCTTCTCTGGAGATGTTGTATCATTGTAATATATTACAACTCTTATGTCAATTTTTCTTTTTATTAATTAATATAGTGTGATATTTACATATATATCCATCTAACATTCCATTTCCGGTTTTATTTCACATTGTAATACTTGCATTTAAAACAAAACATAGTTAAAATTACATTTTTCCATTCTTAATATCTACATTTGACCCTCATGTCAAGATTATTAAAAAAAGTAAACAAAAATTAGTAAAAAAATAAACCATTTTTCTTTTCATATCTAAAGAATTAACATATTCCACAAAATTTGGTAAGCAGTAAACGCAATGAAGATAAAGTTACTGCTGGGTAGTTGGAGTACCATTATCTATGTTCCCGATTATGATTTTTTAATTGTGAATTGAACCTTTATTAAGAGAAGACCTGTGTAAAGAGAGTATTTGTTTTACTTCCCAATGGTGGTCTGTATTCTACGTCCATATACATTGAAGACTATTGTAAGTAGCATGCGTGTACTGTAATCCTGTTTTAGTTTTAAATTGTTATTAGAAAGGTTAATCACTTTACATGTGTTGTTTTGGCAAGAATAAGGTTGAATCTTATCTCAACAATGACTTAATTGAACCTTATACGTATCTATTTTGAAATGTGTTCAATCTTTTAAATCAGTTTAATTTATCTGAAGAAAAAGGTTTTCATGATTAACAATACGGAAAGTGACACGAAGAAGCACCTTTAAAGAATACTCAGCTTAACCCCTGCTATTTCGGGTATTTACGGTAACTGCAGTCTATGTTGTCATGCTAACCATGCTGACTACAATTTGGTATAGGTTCAGTTATGTTATTCTGATTGCACAATCTGCAACAAAAATATTTGTTTTCCTTTTAGTGATGTCGAAAGAACAATTTGATTCTTTCCAGCACACATTTGCTGAGGTATGTTTTGTAATATATTAACTTATAGAGTTTATTTAAAGTTATTTGGTTACTGTCTGTTTGCGCTGTGGCATATACATATATAAATATTGGCAATATACAATTACAAGAACAATTCGATTCTTTCCAGCTCATATTTGCTAAGGTACATTTTGTAATATGTTAATTTATAGAGTTTGTTTAAAGTTATTTTGTCTGTTTATGATGTAGTATATACATATATAAATATTGGCAATATACAATTATTCTGAAGATTTTGTTATTTACTACATTTTACTAATTATATTATACAATCAATGGCAATACAATCAATGACAATACATGTGTTGATAAACTGCTGCCATTGTAAGAAGGAATGTGTAATGGGTTTAATGCTGGACGACAGGATCAAATATAATCTCTTTTCTAACAAATCTGTAATAACCCATAAGCAATGTGGTTAAATGGGATTAAAATGTTTGCCCGAAATATTATGGATTATTTTATGTCATTGTGTCAGGTTCCATTATATGAATCTTAAAGTAAACGTAACATCTGGTCTAACATGTTAGAACTTATGATTATTTTAAAAATACAGTACGATGTCATGATCACATGTTATCGACTGACCATTGGGTGATTGGACAAATTTATTAACATACAGGACGAAAACAACCCTCCGAAATTTAAGATCACAAGTAGCTTTAAATTAGCAAGATTAATGTTTATTCGATATTGCAAGAATGCATTTCTAAAAATAAAAATGTCAAATAAATTCAACTTATTATGTTATTTTCACTTAATCAACTGAATAAAACTCTGCTTTTAAATCATGATAACTAGACTTCATATCAGGATAACACAATGACAATAGCAGAGATTTTAATCGTGGCTAGTAAGACTTAAGATGTGTTTAGGCGTGATTGCAAATCTATGACGTTATCACTAAATAAGTTATGGTCACTAGATAAGACACTCTCTGCTAAATGAAGAAGTTATTTATCTAGTAATAAACAAATATATATGCATGCATTTGTACCATGACCCTATCTGTTACTCCAATCTAGTAATGTGCTTAGTTATGTCGTCAAACATGACTTTTAAATACTAATGAGACATGTAGCGTGCCAATATGTGAAAACAGTACCGAGACATCCAGTAGACCATGGATAGATAGAGGTTTAGTGATGGTTCCTGACTCGGCTAATCTATTTCATAGATTGCCAGATAAATGGGCAGGGTGTTTTCTTTCTCTATCAGTTACTTATGTAGATTTTTCGTTTGTTTGATTGTAACGACGTCAACAAACATAAGTCATGTGACCGGTGTCAGGGCAGTCACGTGAACCGTAGAAATTAAAGGAGTACAGTACGATTAAACATATAGGCAATATAAATAGCAATGTGTGTATCGACAGTCTCCATGGAAAAGGTAGCAATAGACTACAGAAACAACATATACGTCATTTAACGACAGCTAGCAATTTATTTCCTAAGAAGGAAATCCTTGATTCTGCCACAATCATGCAGTTGAATATATATTGGTCAACTCGTTTTATTCAAGCTTGCAGTAATGACCGATGTACGGATAACTCATTCGGTAGAGCGTAAGACTAGTAAATAAGAGGTCCCGGGGTAGGAGTCGAACCCGGGACCTCTGACTTACTAGTCTTAAGCTCTACCGAATGAGCTAAGGAGAAATTTTCCCTAGCCGAGTCGGTAGGAAGCAGCTAGTATTTTACCAGGGAGACACTTATACAAACCCATTCTGCTTTCTTTACTCTATAATGTTAATTTTGTGGATGGTGTATGTTCATTTTGATTAAGAACCTCTACAAATATTTTAAACAATTTAACAATTCAGTTTTTAGATATTTTAACAGAAAATTAAAATTCATAAAAATGTAACTGTTTCAAATATGTTTTCAAAACCTTTTAGACGCTTTTCGTTAATATGTATTGGAAATGTACGAACACCGGTTAGATGAACATTATATGTAAATGCAACACCTTGATGCAAATACCTGTACAAACTGGATACATTCATAGCATTAATGCAAAAATATGTAAAATTATTTGTAAAAATAGCATTATTTAAATTTTGATTTGATTTAAATTTGCTGTTAAGTTAGGCTTGCTGTAAATAACAGTTTGTTGCGCGTTAAAACACATTCCACGAATACTTCAGGTGAAGCATGTAAAGTGTCAGAGTAAAGTATCAATAGGTCAAGTACAAGATCAGAGTAAACTATACATAGGTGACATACAAGATCAGAGTAAAGTATAAATAGGTCAAGTACAAGATCAGAGTAAAGTATAAATAGGTCACATACATGGTCAAAGTCAAGCATAAATAGGTCACGTATGGGGTCAGAATAAATTATAAATAGGTCACATACAAGGTCATAGTAAACTATACATATATTACTGGGTCAAACACATAAACAGAGGAAGTCTATAACTTGCTCAAACGATATAGCTGGGTCAAATACCGGGTCACAGTAAAACTGTTTCTAGGTCAAATTCAAAGTCAGAATGAAATATCAAATGGGTCAAGTAAAGGGTCAGAGAAAAATCATTTATAGGTAAAATATAGGGTAAAAATAAAAGTGTAACATAACTAGTTCAAGTATAGATTCAGATTATATGTTTAACTAGATCTAGAAGAGGGTCAGAGGAAAACAGTGACTAGGCCTAGCATAGCCAGAATAAAATATTTAAAAGGTCCAGTATGTATCGCCTGCTTGCTTATACTTTAATCTTATTGAATTATGCGTTTGTCGTGACAATAACGTATATGTAAGAAATAATTAGGACCATTAATAATACACATCTAATGTAGCCTGGTATCTAATGTTATTGCTATACTCAATAATTTCTCAAATTAAATATCCTTTATACAGAATCAGTTTAAATACCCTGTGTCAGCTAGAGACTGTCATGTGTATACTAATGCTGCCTTTGTAATAGATACAATTAACCCTTCGTATTACCAATCATTTTCATATATAAAACTGCCCTTGAATCTTGAAATGCATAATTAAAATGCGCATAGTCTTTCATGTAATATCATTTACGTACGTTTCTTCATTTTGACTGAGTTAATTTATTGTACGTTGAATACAGTTCAAGGTAACTCAGGAGTATCCGACTGAACAAGTCCTCAATATATACAGGTCTGTCAAAACATCCACTTCACCATGTCAAACAAATTAGATTGTAAATCTAAACAGGATAATTGAGTAATGAAATAGAACATAACAAATACATACAAATACATATTTAACTTGTAGTTAACGTATACTAGAGATATGACTAATACATAGTTTTACATTTTTTTCTCTCTCAAAATACATTAGCTGATGTCAGATTCATTCGTAAGAATGTACTTTGTTCTCCCGTTTAGATTTACTAATGTAAAGTCTCTCCTGGTATTAACTTAAAATGAAATCCACCTAAATATTCAGTGATATAATTTGTGAACAGCTTTGAAACGACCTACGAACTATGTTGTGATAAAACGGTATATAAGAAGCTCGAATTATTATTATAATTATTATTAATAAGATCAACATAAAAACTGAAAATATCATTATGGCAACAATTCACAAAAGTTGATGATACTCAATAATTAAGACGTATAGTCACACGTGAATATATATTTATATGGACATTGAATGATAATTAGAATATACATGAGTGCACGTATAATCTTAACAAAACAGATAACAGGTACGGCGATATCAGGTGACGTCATTGTGATTAAGTGTTCAAAACATATTAAAATGTTCGTCAACCTTAAGTAATAGGTCTCATTTTTTTCTGTTAAATGCGATGGCTAATACCTTTGTTTACTTCAGCAGAGTAGGTAACACGATAACAAATTACATATAAACATTGAAAAAAAAACATATTTAATACGAATTACATTGTACTATACACGCATTAGTTCATGTGAAATAACTGACCTCTGGGTGTATCTGTAAATTTCCCATGATGATGTAGATATACGTCCAGGTAATTCACTGCTACAACCAATCAGGTCTGTACACTATTATTCAATACAGAGGTTATATTTGTAAGCTTCACAAATCCACACTATGTTCCATTTTGCCGAGATATCTTCTCAAAAACAAGTACCCGCGTATCATGTCTATCATGACTAGTCCATGCCATCTGATTTGCTTGATCGGCTTCACAGTAGCGCAATTACTCCGCGTTTCAACGACAGATAGATAGTTCTGTATACATTTAACTCTCGCCTATAAGGACTAAAAGGTTATTTACCGATGTGCGATAATCTTTGTGAGCGCCCATGGGCAACTTGTGTGGAATTCTTCGTCGAAAACGTTTAACAGTCATTTCAGAATAGAAGGCGTGTTGTGTATTGCGGAGAATGGAGGGTATTGCCATTTAATTTGTTTCTTTTTACATTCAAGTAAGATTGTTAAGAGTCAGTCCGTAATCCTGATTAAAGGTTGATTGTATCACGGCCACGGGTCAGGTCTTTATGAATTGTTTAATGGAAGATCATCATAGTCAGTCACACGGAACAGAATAAAATGAAAATATTGATGTTAGTATAAATACAAGTGGTTTTATGTCACCACCGTGTGGTGTCTTAGATATGTATACGAATCCTGCTATAATAAACTAACTAAGCAACAGGAAGTCGGGAGAAAAATGTAATACTCATTGGTAGTACGGATATAAAACAGCTCCTAAAACATTTACTGAATAAATCACTTATAGGTAGGGCATAATGTTGCTCTACAATTGGTCAGTATATGTATACCTTAGCATTCTGCCGTTAAGAAAAGAAAAACATACTTTGGCTAAAAGCGAATGTTATCGTTAAACACCTTTCATAAATATTTCATGTATTATTTCGAATGCAAAGGAAAGCATGCCTTCACTGGAAAGTAAGTATTACGTATACGTCTGTGTGTGTGTGGATGTGTGGGTGTGTGGGTGTGTGGGTGGGTGTGGGTGTGTGGGTGGGGATGTGTGTGTGTGTGTGTGTGTGTGTGTGTGTGTGTGTCCATCTGTCTGTCTGTCTGTGTATGTCTGTCTGTCTGTATAGTACAAGTGTTATTGCTAATGGTGTACAATATATATTCATTAACAATTATTAGCAATAATTATGTGTTGGTGTATCTTATACATCTATATTACTTTCTGTTTTCTGTATGCATGTCATGAGAGATCATTCTCCAAATATGAACGTAATTTTATTTTTTATATTTATGTATACCTATGGGTCGTAAGGCCCCCGAAATAAACTTGAATTGAGTTGAATTGTGTTATTGACTTTTTCTTTGTCAGTAAACATTGGATTGATTTTGGCTGAGACAGTTACCTTAAGGTGTAGCTTTAACATTGAATAAGTATACAGAGCCTGTAGCCTTTCTTGTGTTTGTTTTACCTGATCAGGTAGCGACAGATTATTTTAGCTGACCAGGTAATTATTTATTTATTTCATTTGATTTGTCAATTTTTTTGTTTATTTATGCGATAAGCTATCCCCTAGTTATATTTTACCTGATCAAGTGTAACCATTGATTGTGTTTTACCTGATCACCTAAGCGTTAATCAATAATACTTTATCCAGTAATTATTGCTAGATTTGTCCAGCTGACCAAGTAGCCATTGATACAGTACACGTGTTCAATTAGTTATTTTTTAATTGCATTTTACCTGTCCAGGTAACATCTATATGTGAATCCGAATCAATTTCTACCAAATTCAATTAGATAACCTTTTATCCAAGATAGTACCTAATGATGTATACATTATTCAGGGTAATGGCCGAGGTTGATACATTAATATTGTTGATAGTACTGGTAATGAGCAGTCTACTTCTCTAACGTTCCACGTCTCGGTGAAGATGAGTCAGTATCGTCGTGTCATTTACGTAGATAATGGACTTGTACGAATAGTGTACGTGTGTTACTCGTATATAATTTTATTTTACCATAAGATAAATCATTATATGATAAAGTGGGGATTGTAAGTGGTTGTCATTGAGTATTATTTATTTCATCAGTGCGACAGTTTTGTTTTCCGATTAAAGCAAATAAGAATATATATACATAATATCCAATTTAAGTAAGGTGTGTGTTCTTTTTATTACATTTTTCAAAGCAGTAAGAGAGTGAAAGTGACCTTGTATAACATTTTGTATCAGGGCATTTCATTGGATGTCACAACAATGTTTTAAGAACGAAAATCGTTGTTTTTTGTTTGCAAATGGCTTGCTTGTTTATGGTTCGAATTTAAGGTAAATAAAGATAAGGCAAAATATAAACAGAGGGAAGATTTAAACTGAGAACTTCAGAAAAATACAAAGAGACTAAACCCAGCATATTTAACTTCATTGACGGCACCCGTCATGTTAATCTATGTCAAAGTCATTTAATTTAACGTTCTTTAAGGGAGGATTGGGGTAGAAACAACGAAACTACAAGGAACATTGAACAGCCTTAAAGAGAAGTCGATATTCCTATCACACAAAGAAATGAATACATCATTTCCAATGAGATCCCCATGGAAGTCATACAACTTGTCCAGATTATTTAAGCTGACTGATATTCGGAGCAAACCCGTCAATATTGAATTAACTGCGGCATGCCACCGTATGGATGGTAAGCATGGATTTTACTATTATAAAAATGTTACGTTCACAATAGGAAAAACGGAATCTCAATGGCTACCTATATTCACAGGTATCAGATTTGTTTTATGATATTGCCCACAGTAAATATCCTTCTGGTGTGTATAACTACCAGTTATACAGTTACAAATATACCCAGTTTGTATTTGACCATAATTACCACAATAAATATCATTCTGATGTATACATTTTATAACCACCAGTTATACAGTTATAAATATACCCAGTTTGTATTTGACCATAATTAACACAATAAATATCATTCTGGTGTATACATTTTATAACCACCAGTTTTACAGTTATAAATATACCCAGTTTGTATTTGACCATAATTAACACAATAAATATTCGTCTGATGTATATGACCACATGTTGAACAGAGATATACATGCATCGAGTCTATATTTGATTACAGCTTACAAAAGAAATATCCCAAGGCAGGAACATACATATTTCTATTCATATATGTTCCATTAGCTACATTTAAGTAAGTTTTACATTACTGTCTTCTCTTCTATTCTATTCAATAATACAATCTACGTCTTATATATAAGTATACCAATGTTTCTGTAGTCAAATGAAAAACAATGCTTATACTTGTTTCTGCCTGTTTTAAGTTGCTTGCATTGCAATTACCGTGTTCCCCATTCAATAACAGGGTACTCTGTTTAAGAATTTTAATCAACCTGTAAATATCCTAATTTATTTCAACAAAGACCAGCTGGAGATTAAATTTCTGTAACCACATTTACAGTAACCTGACCACCTCAGAGACTATTAGTGACACTTCAACTAACACGAAAGGACGTTACCACGACATAGACGTCACTACTTTGGGAATGCAATAATATCAATAAGTTAATAGCTTTATATACTGAAAACTGCAGTGAAAGGTTAGCTTCACTTAATTGCTTGTTTTCCCGACTTCTCAATTAAATATGTTTTTTCTCTTATCATTACGTTACATGGTACAATTTACATTTATTTATTTATTCATTTAATTTTACACTGCTTTTATGTCCAATTTAGCACAATAATGCCTATACGTGTTTTGCTAACACATTGTTTTACGTAAGTTCACAAAGCACATAAAATGTATTGATGAAAATCGTATTGTACCAGTCAAGTTTAAAATGTGTGTTTAACATAACTCCTCACACGCTTGTAAACACACCCGCACTTGCATACACACATTTGTGGAGATATTAGCCAGGTGACATAGGCCTAGTAGTTAGTGCCTGATAAGTTAGTTCCTGCAGAGTTCCCAATTGTACTGGGTGAGATGTATTTTATTGATTATCTATGAACGGCAAAGCGCTTTAGAGTGGCTTTTTGTACATGTAGCTAGATGGAATGAGAGATAACATTTTCATCTTGTTATCATTAAGTATTTCATGTTAAAAGTTGAACGACCATGATAAGAACTACAGTTATTTTTATTTTATTTTTATTTTAACATGGATATACGTATAACCATTTGTATCTGTCCACTCCCGGCGGGGATGTAAAGGGTTCCGGTCTTGTAATAGATTATCCTAGAGAAACAACTATAAGCAAGTAAGTAAATCAAATAGCAGTCATATTGTATACTTTTTACGGAAGATATTCAATTACAGATATTAATAGCACACATTGAATTGTTCTTGTTATCGCCCTGAATAGTAACGGAATCTTTGTTAAATAACTCTACATGTATACAATTTTAGTACATCCTGGCATTACCTCTACCTGTGATACAATACAATTAGTATATTAGGTTATATCACACAGTACTAGTAAATCTATACAAACATATTTATACTACGGAAAATTTCTGTCACGTTGGTTTCGTCAAAGATAATATTTGCATACATTAATGTAGGCAATAATATTAATTGTTTTACTAATTATTTAAAACAAATATGACACGAATACAAATATTAAAAGATTGAATGCTTACACAAAAATTGGGACATGTGATGCTAATTATAATGAATATAAAGATTATCGATCAACATATTATTTCCACTTGGATACGTAATATCTATAAAAAAAAAACATGCATTTAAATGTTAAGATTACACATTCTTATCAAAACGATTGAAAAATAAATAAAACGAAAGGGAAAATGAATTCAACGTATGAAAGTTCATGAATTGATTCAACTGAAAACATAATAATAAATCAAGCTTACCTCTAGGGACGTTTAGCACATATAGCATACACAGCGAAACACACACGTAAAACATTGATAATACTAACCAAACACTGATTTGCTCAGAGGTAGTCATTTTGACTTGGGACCAATTTATCAACTAAGTAAAGCTATGAGTCCTGATGAACGGGTGTGTCGTGAAGGTTCACTAGCGTTTTGTCTCATTCACATTCGACACGTACTTAGGTTCGATACCGACATGCAGAACTCCTCAACCGGACTGGGAATGCTGGTCAGATGTACAGATAGCCAACTGATAAGTAATCAGTA